TGTGGACAGAAAATAGTTCTCAATTTTTTTTTCTTTTATTGATATTAACGGTATACCTTAATCCAAGACATTTGGCATTTCAATGACAATTCATCCCTATAATTTTATGTTTATAAATCATTCCTCCCAAACCGAGTGACACGCCTAGTATTTGTTTGTACGTCTGCAATTTTTGCGTATTTCGCCTTGCTTTCCTGTTAGAACTTCGATGTTTCCCATTCGACTCATGGAAAGAGCAAACGATCTCCTGAAATCTTCTAAGCCCGCTGCGAATTCTTCAGTGATTTGCTTAGTATCATCACCATAGAGTAGCTGCTGATCAACTTCGAGGACAGCTTCATGGGTTAACACTCGAGTAGTAGGAGTTGGTGAAAGTATATTTGGATCCAGATTCTGGATTTAGAAATACGAGCGGATCGGTTTGGCCCTTTCTCGTTCGTGGTGGACATAGCTTTCTCATTTCTGTCAAGAATGATGCTTTCATACTTGGATCTGGCTTTCCTGTATTATTGAAATTGTAAAGCCTATCCACAATGAAGCCACAGTGTGTTCTCCCCATGGAATGTGCTCCTGATATCAAAGAAAGGTAAGAAATTGCAGATGCCGAGGTTCGAATCTCAAATTCGCTAGAAGTTTCTTTTGAAGCATAGTTTCAGGAACCAAAATCCCGCATGCATTCATATTATCAGTATGTTTGTTCCTTGAAATCTATCATCATCCATGGATTTGGCAACGAAGTGGGAGAAAAGAATAATTAGAATACATTCGGTCCCATTCAAGCCTGATAATCCATGTATCATATTATGTTTATATCGATTTCTCGCATGTTAGTAGTTCATGTTTTGATACATTCATATATTCATGTCATGTTTTTTTGTGTTTATACTAGTGTTTACCTAATAGGGTAGCCATGTCCAACACATCCAGGCCTTTAGATTTGAAATAAGCGAGAGAAGCTTCCCATGAGATGGATGGTGAAGGGAGATCGACGGATGCTTTGGTCGATGTCAGCCCATCCCTTCGCCCTGTGAATTCGGGATAAGACGGTGCTCCTGCCTGTTGATACAATTTTTATAATATGATCACGAAATTTATATGATTGACACTTTAAATACGATTATGATACGCAAAAGTATATGAACACAGGATAACATAAGATGGAGCATTTGTTTAGAAAGTGATTAGTTTATATAGTTACTCTGAGAAAGTTAATAGTAGTTATTGATTGATACCAAATGAACAGAATCTCTTGTGGCTCGGCGCAAGAGACGGCGCCGAGGCATCGCACTTCAAGCACCGTCTTAATCTTGTCAATAAGCACAAACCCTCCCAGTCCTCGGTTCTGTGGTGCTATCTTCTCCGAATCCGGCCCATCTAAGAGGATTGAAGCATCGCATCCCTACCAATTCATTTTCCATGGCGTTTTAAGTTTTAAAAGCTGGAATAAATAAGCAACCAACTGATTCTCCTAATGTCTCATAAATCATTTTTTTCTACTTTAACCCATATTTTTGTTTGAAAGAAACAATTCAAAAAAAAGGAGAAAATGATAAAAACTTACATTTACAAAACAGTCAAGAGTACAGCAACCGAAGAAGCTTAGGGGCAATGGTTTTGTCTTTCTTATAAAACAATTCTACCTGGTGCCTAATATAAGGCTCTGCATCATCACATGAATTATGCACCTTATAGTAATGCCAAACCAGCTTCATCGGTTTCTGCAATGAAGATGCCACCTCAACGACTTCCGACGTGCACCACAAACTCAGTACCGCAAGAGCTAACCACACCGGGAAAACGAACCCGAACCTTTCTGTCGTCATTTTCTCTCTATTAGCTCTCATTTTAAAGCATAAACCCTAATATGCAAACCAAGCTTGTATATCTCACAGTAAGGGGTGAATCTTATATAGAATCCAGTTGCCACTCGTCTTCTTCAAGAGTACTCAATAGGATCAATTCGAAGAAAAAAATATACATTTAATTTTATAGAAATTCGATCCTTTTTATTAGGCGCCGTAAGAGGGAAGCAAATGTGGCTGTTCACATGCAATAAGGTATTGTAAACATTCTTGTACTTTATGTTGTTTTGGACCAAATTACGTCGGTAGCAAGGAACGTTAATGCATGTGATTTTAGCATTGCTTTTAGGGTTTATTCGGGCCAAAATTGTTTGAATAAAAAAATGGGTCATAGATTGCATGAAAAATTATTTCTTTAATTAGGGTGTTTATTATAGTATCCGGTAGAAGACATCTGGACCATATGATGATTTCTAAAAGTTATCTTTGTTATCGTGCATACATGAAGCTTCAAAGAGTCAAAGACACCCTACAGTTCACATAATTTCTCAAAATCGTTAAATCATTCAGACGTCTTCCAAAAGTCGTTGAAAGATCCAGATATCTTCCATAAATACTATAACAAATACTCTAATTGAAGAAATAATTTTCCCTACACCTTGTATAACCAATTTTTTTCAACACGTTTATTTCTTTTTATAAAAGAAAAGAAAATACTCGTTAACCAATGTTAAATTTTGTGAAAACAAAGCAGTCGTCAGCTTCCAAAGTTTCCTTCCCTTCCCTTGGACCATACACAAACGCCATTGTGCAGCAAAGCAAGGGCTTCCCTGGGATTTAAAATAAAATAAAATAAAATAAAATAAAATAAAAAATTTATACATATTGATGTTCGAATTTAAATTTAATGGATATCACTTTTAAGAATAAATGCAAAAAATAATTAAATTTCTATACATTTGGCATTAAAGAAAATTAATAATATAAATATTTTTTCATGGTTAATGCTTACAATAATTACCAATTAAACTTAAAATTTGAATTTATATATACTTTTATGAGAGATTAAATTTATGTAGCCCCTAAATTATTTTAGATGAGAAAATAAATTTAAATAAATCTAAAGATATATTCTTTTTGATAAAAAAGAGAGGTTAGCCTTAAAATTTAATGTTAACTCAACTTTATTTTAACATTAGTGTTTTATTATTGCATTACAGGTTTGGTTGACAAATTTAAAGGCATCTTAATGGTATATATTTTTACGATGTATAATTACCGATATCTAATTTATTGATAGATTAATTTAATCGAATATTATAGAATTTTGTTTTAAAGTGATCTTTTCAATCTAGTTTTATTTCATCTATAATGTTAAAATTCAAACCATCAAGATTTTTTAAAGGACCTGATCCTTAGTACTGCTAAATCAATTGGTTGTTAATTTGTTGACGACATATTAATTGTATTTTTATATAAAGAAAAATTACATTTAGATCAAGTCAAGTAATACCCAATCAAGTATGACATGAATAAGATATATTGGTACATAAAATTAATTAATTTAGTTGGTGAATGCTTATTAATAAGAGACGTGTTTATCCATGCTGAGAAACTCATTCGTTAAAATTAGGTGTGCGACGCAGGTCGGTTAAGATTAATCAGGACGAAACCTTGGAATCGGAAGGAGAACAAAAGATAAATAAATAAATAAGAGATGTGCTTAAAATCCAAGTGTACAACTTGCAATATGAAGGAACTTTAAGATGATTGATGATCAAAGCATAATAAAAGCTTAAGGGAACCGACCGTTTTCCATTTTTTCTAAAAGAAAATTAGTTCAATTTATATATTGGCTAGGCTGGAATTCAAGCTCAATATTTGACCTCCTTAGATGTCAGGGTAAATTATACGTTTAGTATCTAACTATCACTTTTATCTCTTTTTAGTATTCAAACTTTATATTTTTTTCAAAATCATATTTAACATTTAGTTTATGTTTTAATTTGATACTCCTCATTAAAAACTTAGCGGCAACAATGACATGTAATTATTTTTCCTTTTTCGATATTCCACGCGTTTTGTAAAGTAAATTTCAAGTTATTGGTGTCGTTAAGTGTTACCAAATTAAAACCTAAACTAAACGTTAGATATAGTGTTGAAAAAAAAAATAAAATTTAGGTGCTAAAACAGAACAAAAATGATAATTTAGGTACTAAACATGTAGTTTACCCTAAAGGTTATATATATAACTACGGAGTTGAAATTTAAAGCAAACTCGGCATTCATCCTAAAATTGTGATCCAATTTTCCCACCATAAAAAGTGGTTAGATCTACCTTCAAAGACTTTATATTTAAGGATTAATATAAATATATAATATGGTTAGACGGTTTATAATAATATTTTGGATTATTATTATTATTATCTGAATTTATAATAATCTACCTTCCTTTTTACTATTCCAAAAATAATAAAATATTTTTCTATTAATGTTTATTTATTCATTCTATAATTCAATTTAGGGTAAACTACACATTTTGTACCCTAACTATCACTTTTGTTCCATTTTGGTCACTTAATTATTTTTTCAAAATGATGCCTAACCTTATGTTTTGGTTTCAATTTGATCACCCACTATTAAAAAATTAACAAAACCGCTAACGTGAAATTTTTATTTTTTTAAATGATGACATGAAATTATCTTATGGTAACACATTAGCATCACCATTAATTTTTTGACAGTAGTGACCAAAATGAAACCAAAATTAAATGATAGGTATAATTTTTTGTTTAAAAAATAGTTGGGTGACCAAATGGAACAAAAGTGATAGTTGAGATACTAAACGTGTAGTTTACCCTTCAATTTAAATAAAAGTAAGAGTAAACTATGTATTTAGTCATCCAACTATTTTCGCTGTTCTGGTTTAGTCAATAAACTATTTTTTTCAAAATCATTTCTAACATTACGTTTTGGTCACTCTCATTAAAAAGTTATCGATAATACTGACGTGTCACCATAAGATAATGTTACATCAACGGAACAAAAATGAAACTTTAACTATGATTTTGATAAACAAAATATACTTAGATAACTAAAACGGAATAGTGGGAATAGTTGGGTGACTGAATACGTATTTACCCTAAAAGTAATAATTTGAATAAGATTTTAATTCGGTTTAACTGGAGTTGACTTGTTTTTGGGTTGAAACCTGGTGGAAAAGCGAAACGAGGTAAGCAAACGAAGAAGGTGGAAATGGAGCAACCATCTTCACCAGGAACGGACCCAGTTGAGCTAAGGAACTCCATGGAAGAGCTTTTGAAGTTCACTCTCCAATCTCACCTCAATTCAACTCTTGAACTTGATATTGGCCTCTCTAAGCCATTCTGCACATCTCTCCTCAATCACACAAGCCCCATCTCCCCGAATGCCAGTAAGAAATGATTAGTACCCATTTTAGTTATATTTTTCTTAGATTCCTCTTTTTCGATGTCGGATTGATTTCCCTTGTGCTTTAAATATGCAGCAGAAGCCTCTCAGATTCATTTGTACAAACAGTTGGCTCGGGCTTTATACGAAATCATTACTTTTGGATCATCTGAGTGTGATAAAGTGGCATCGTTTTTTCAAGGAAGTGACTTGAAGCACAAAGAAGAATGGGTTGATTTAGCTCATAAAGAAGGATCTCAATTGACTGAGGTAGCTACTCTGATCTTATGATTAAGTTATTCATATTCCAGGGTACGAGGATATATATATATATATATATATATATATATATATCTGTTTCAAGAGTTATAGGATGACCATATCCATACTTGGGTGTCAGCTATGGATATTGAGCAGCATAGGTTCCAATTATATTTTCATTAGTCAGAGGTAATCATTGTATTTTTTTTCTTCAGATTTTGAAGAACATTAATTTTGAGCTTCATGTTCAAGAGCCTTTCTTCACTCAATTAAAAGGTATTATTCATTTATGCTTCTTATGGATTTCTTTGGTTTTTATAGCAAAAAGTATGTTTTACATTTGCAGAAATCATTTTTGGATTCCAGATTATTTTTTCATTGAATAATTGCTCATTGGTATTTTGGACTAGGTATGATCGAACACCAATAATATCATCATTTTATGTGAAAAAAGTAATAATTTTAAGGGTATATGTTCAATATTATAGTCTAAATTAGGTACAAGAGTTAATTACATACAACGAATATTAAAACACTCCCACAATATTCAAAAATTGATATATTGCTTAAAACATGTTGCATTGTTTCTTAAATAAAAATAATAAATAATTAACTATAACAAATAATAAATAACAGTTTGGAACAATTAAAAAACCAACAATTAGATAAGCCTAAATAACAATTTAATCATGTGAAATTGAGCTAAATTACTATGGATGAAAAGAGGATTAAAAAGTGCAATTAGCCCCTTGTATCATAAGTTATGGATCGTAATTGTGGGTCCGAGTCAGACACGAATTTAATTTGCAGTTTCGGGTTGAAAAACAGGTTGATCACCTAAAATGACGTTGTTTTGGATACTTTATATAACTAAATATCTCATTCTCTTTCACTCTTTCATTTTTCCTAGTAATGTGGTATTGTTTGTAGATGGCATCAAAACAATTGAAGGAAGATGTGCTGTTGGTGACTATAATAGGTATGCCTCAAGATTGGACCTTAGCTTAGTTATTTCGTACAACTATATTTAAGAGATGCATATAAGTAGGTCCCTTTTTGAATCCTAATATCTACAATCATGAGACTTATAATTATTTCGATTGAATAGTTGAGTACATTTTATATGCTTTCCTCTAGATTTTTCTACTAATTGCTTTTATCAGAATTGCATCTGGAGCTTTCATCCTCTTCAACAAATGCTTGGTACTTGAAGTTCAGGTATAAGGATATGATCTTTCAGTGATCCTCCAAATATATAAAAAAATATTAAAATTGAACATATTTGTGTTGGGACACTTTTCCGTATCCTGCATTCACATCCAAATTCGAGTAATGTAGTTTTTTTTTTATAGTTACTTCATTTTATTTTTCTCTTAATCAACTATTTTCTTTGAGTATCTTTTATTTGACAGGCTGTTCATCATTATGCTTCATTTTTTGAGATGTTGGAAGCAGAGACTCTGGCAAAGGTCCTTCCCGGAGTTAAAACAATACATGAAGGTAATGATCATGTTTTTCGTCCTATGGAGGTACTAAGAGTTAAAATAAATGATGTTTTACATAGAGATTAAACTTCAAATAACTTTCTATGTTTATGCTGCTTGAATTTTTCAAGTTCTCAAGTTGGATTTTCATGTTTAAAACATATGGACATACTATGTGAATATGTCCTCCAAATTCATAGAAATATTTGAAAAAATAGATTAAATATAATGCGTAAGATATCCGTGTATGACTCATATAAGAACGTGAGTACGAAGACTTGAACCTCTAAAAATACATGAAAATCTTAAAAAACAACATATCTATGTCTATCACTCGTACTCTAGTCCAAATAACATACAAATTTTCTGTATAAATGGAAGACACAAGTCAAACAACGAACACCTTCTATTCTATAATATCGTAGTCTGAAATATTACCTTTTTAGGCATAGGCGTATCTAGGCTTAGGCCTACCTAGGTCATGGCCCTTCCCATGTATAAAAAATTTAAGATACAATTTAAATAAATATATATAAAAATTACATTAGAAAGTTATATTGGTTCGATTGATATATTTTTTGAATCCAACCTATAAACATATATAATTATTATATTTTTAAATTAAAATATTTTTATTAGATTTATATCGACCTAAACAATAAAAAATTTCTAAATTCTTCACTGCTTTTAGGTGTTCAAGTTTACAGAAAGTTTTACACAGAAGAGAAAGAAATGGCCAATGGTGTAGTTGCAATTGGTGTTACTAAAGTAGCTGCTCAACCCTACCTTTCGTTGGCCAGATTACTATCGGTAAGCTATATTGTTCGGTTCTATTTTTATTTTTCTTTTCGAAATTTGTGTCTGACATATTTTCAGGCATGCATATAAGAATATATGTCTTCAACTGCCCTCTAAATACATGAAATAGCTTGGTATAAATTGAGTATACATATGTGTTGGATGTATCCCAAATCCGAATCTCAGACTGTAAATGAGCTAACTCTGTCCTGTTTTGATTCATGCTTATAACTTTATGAAAATGTAAAATTTAATGCTTTCGTATTAAGGACAACTTATGTTTCTTCGACTATTCATTTCGTTTGAATTAAAACTTAAAATAAATCGAACATACTCATGTTAGACACATACTTATAAAGGAAACCCACGTCCAAGTAACGTAAATGGCACTGCAAGTATTGTCTCAAAACAATGCCACAAGTGAAATTAAGTTGAGCTAACTTCTCTGTGAAAGGTTCTTAACCTTGAGGTCGTGGGATCGAGTCCCACGGTGAGCAATTCATAATTGTTGGAGGTCTTCCACGGAAGTTGTTCTCAACCTAACGTTGGGGGTAGTCTACTATCCTACCTCCCCTACCTCCCCCTTATCCCATTACATATGAGAATAGGGTCAGCTAATTTTTTTTTTTAACTTCTCTGTGAAAGGATTTCCAAATGTGCTTTAATGGTGGAGGCATTGATTATAAAAAATTTGGAAATTCTCATATGACTAGGAGAGCATAGTTGATGAATGGAGGATTGGTCTGTCTGCTTGTAGGAAATAATTTAATTAATCGATATAGATACATGATATAAGACTCTTAGAATGCCCTAAAAAGTTGAATATATCATAGAGTTAAGATTCACTTACGCATGTAAAACTTTTAGTTTTATATTTTTTTAAGAATTTTGGACGAGTGAAAATAGACGTTTGAGATTACCTCATTTTCTATTGTTATTCTCAATCGTCTAGTTTCACTCGTCCAGTGATCCTAAAAAGATGTGTTTTACACAATATGAATGAATCATATCTCTATCATATATATGTTTTTGTAAAAAAAATGTTTTAAGGAAAATAAAGGAGGTCACATAGGTTGTATCCTTGTACTTTTGCAGTTGTTCTGACTCATTATATTTGCTTCCAGGGGTTGAAATACGATGGTATTCTAAGCCTTATAAATCAAGAGCATCTTGATGGATCAATGTCATGAGAACTTCATGCCATAACTCAAATACAAGTCAAATGCATAACGTTTTCATTGTCTTATACTTGACTTTGTTCTAAAATCTTTCATTTTCTTGAAAGACCTATATCCGACATTAGTGGCGAATGTAAGTATTGTTCAGGGTGAACACGTATGTTAGTAATTTATTTTATTGATGACGTTTACTCTGAAATTTTATTTGTATCCATCTCATATAGAAGATTTATGTTATTAATATACAGAGTCCATTCTCAAAAATATTTTTAAATCTGTCATTGTAGGTGAATGGAATGCAAGACATGTTTTTGTTGAGAATTGCTTGACTGTGTTCTATTTGAAAATTTGAGCTATGTTAAATATAGATTGCTTGGGATATCTCTTTGGTTTGAATGATGTGAGATGAATGGTCAGTGTTCAATAAAATATAGGGGATTTGGCTTCTCAGTACAATTGAACAAAAATGTTTGAGGTTTTTAATATTAAGAGGCTGCTCTTTTTTAGAAATATGGTACAATTCTATGCATGAATTAAAAAAATCAGATAAGAGTACTATATCAAATTTAACATGAATAATTAAAACGACGAATACATTAAGTGACTTCAGTAATAAAATGAAGTGTTGTTGTTTTTAGAAGTCTTCGAGTTGAGTATTTGTGCCTGTAGGATGTATATTCTTTGTCAATGGCTAAAAAAGATTTTGAACCGATATCACTTTATAGTCACCTCAAACTATTAAAAAAATATCTATAAAATATAGGATAAACTACTTATTTAGTCACTCATCTATTACTTAATTTCTATTTTTGTCAAAATTATTATTATTTTTAATCATACTTAACTTTTCGTTTTGATTATGTTTTGATCGTATACCATTAAAAATTAACAATGATGCTAATGTGCTATTTTTAAATTATCTTTATAATGCTAACGTATCATCATTAATTTTTTAACAGTAGGTGATCAAAATAAAATCAAAACGTAATGTTAAGTATAATATTAAAAAAATAATAAAATAACCAAAACAGAAACTAAGTAACAGGTGAGTGACCAAATATATAGTTTACCCTAAAATCTAACGTGAGTGATTAAAATATCAATAATATCTAATGTGAGTGACCAAATGAAAGTTTAATAAAGTTGAGGGCACCAGTTGTACAGTTTACCCTACATTTACATATTGATTGCTGTTGAGTGTCGAATTTGAAGCGGTCAGCTCAGTCGTGCAAACGAAAATGGAGAACTTTCATGAAAGAAAAAACTAGAAATCAGAACTTTAACAAGGAAATACAGAGAAATGAAGAGATTAGGGGAATGCATAGGGGAATGCATAGGGGAATTAACCAAGTTCACTCTCCAATCTCACATTAACAAATCCCTCGATTTTGAGCTGCAACTTTCCCATGACTTTTTCTCTAATCTCCTCCTCGATAATGACGCCACTGATCCCAATCCAGGTAAGAGTAGCCAAATCTAATTTCCACTTTTGTTATTTTGTTTTTTGTTTTAACTTCAAATTCTTAAGTTTCGCTGTTATTCTCCAACTTTTGGTTGCTTCAAGAAAAGAGGCAAAAATAAATAAATAAAACAAGTACCGAGGAAAAGCTCTGCAATATTGAACCCATACTAAATAAAACTGAATCTTAGTACCAAGGAAGTTGTTTATTATAGCAACGTTACTTATTTGATATAGGTGTTATTGGCTGGACTGTACTCGAGTCTTGCATGTTGGAATTTAAGTTCGGCTCAATTTGAACGTGTTCAACTTTTTTTCCAAACCCGTTTTTCTTGTTCAGTTCCTCTTGAATATTGAGCGGTCTTCAGGCTCCTACAGTCGTCAAGTCGTTGGACAAGTCTGTATAGGAGTCTAATATATTGAATTGAATGGTGCAGATATTTTGAAAGGAGTTCCTTCATACCCTTTATACAAGCCTTTGGTATTGTCTTTGAATCAATCCATGGTTTCCGGGTTCATTTGCAGCAAACAAGGGAATTCAGCATTGATGTGTGATGAGACTTATGCTAAACAGAAGGAAGAGTGGAATAAATTAGTTTCAACTAAAGGACATGAATTGATAAATGTTAGTTTGTCATTGTTGATGCTGCTGTTAATTTTTTCCCCTTTAGGCTTTATGGCTATTAATTTGTTTTATTGATAGATTATGAATAACATAGACTTTGAACTTCATGTTCAGGAGCCCTTTTTCTCAATGTTAAGAGGTAATTTTGGCTGTTCTTATTCTTTGCCAATGCCCTGATTCCTTTGCAATTATCTAATCAATCAAAATTTCATTCTTTGAAGATGGCCTGAAGACAATTGAAGGAAGGTGTGCAGGTGGAGAATATGATAAGTATTTCATGGCTGTTATATATTCGATTTTACAGTCCTTCGTTACTATCAGACAATAAATGAATTTGCTGATGGTACGGAAAATTGAGGTTTTATAAATTTAGCTGCCGCCACTCTAGCATCAGAAGCACTCTTAAGTAACTTCTTATTTATTTATTTATTTTAGTATTGAACCAGGTTCTATGATCCTTTTGAACAAATGTTTGGTGCTCGAAGTTCAGGTAATATAATGCTTATGCATTATAGTACATGTTCATATTCTGAGTTGGACATTTACAATTTTACCAGTTTCAGGATGTTCATCGTTATGCTACATTTTCTAAGATGTTAGAGGTTGAAAGTTTTTCTCAAGTCCTTCCTGGAGTTAAATCCACTGAAGAAGGTAATCTCAATTGAAGTTAACCCATGATTGGCCTTGAATTATCTCTCTTCATACGGTTAGAATATGGATTACTTTGTCATAAGGTTTGGTGGCTGTATCTGGAATTAGGGAACCCAATACATTATTCTGAATGAGGATAAATTTCATTGAATAACCATTAAAAACAAAGTGTTATCAAATGATCCAATGTAATAATTATAGGTCTTTGAATTTCTTTTAATTATTCATATTGACTTGTGCTTAGTTATTGATCATCATGTCTTAAGACTTCAAAATCCAAATTCATTATAAATGTGGCTGGTTTTGGGGACTTATTTTTGTTTATGCTTAACTATTTTCTAGTTGTTTGATTTAGTAAATGTGTGATATGCTGTGAAGGGAATATTACGGGCAGTTTCATTGTGTGATATGCTGTGAAGGGAATATTATGGGCAGTTTCATTCTTGCTTCTAAATTATTTGCTAACACCTTTATGGGATTTTTTTTATTCTCTTGTAGGCATGCAAATATATAGGGAATTTTATACTGAGGAGAAGGAAAGGTCTAATGGTGTCATTGCTATCTGTGTTTCAAATTTGGTGGCTCAGCCCTCTATCTTGTTGTCCAGCATACTATCCGTGAGTTGCTTCATTTTTCTGAATCTTTGATTTTTTTTTATGTTCAATAAGCTAAGCGAATGTTTAAATTTTCAATGTTTTAATCCAGAAACTGAGTTATGAAGGGGTTCAAAGCCTTCTGGGTCTTGCACATACTACTGGAACAATTACTGATGCACTCCCCCCACCAAAATCAACACTTCTTTCTTCATTTATGTTGCCATATAACCCGGATGTAAGTTAATGGCCTTTGAATTGCTTTTATGCTTTCTATACCAAGATTTCCAAACTTTCTTTTATTTTCCCAACTGAACATGCTGCAATTAGCATGCATAATTTGTAGTATTCAAAATAAATAAAGACAAGGAAAAAAATAAGGCTTGGATATATTGATTGAAAGCTATCATTTTTCTCTTTTAAAATGGGTCTTTGTCATTAAAATGCAAAGAACTGCCATAGTTTGTGTGGTGCAGTGACATGAAGTTTTTTGCATTTTTCTCATTCCATACACCAAACATGAGCAAAGAACTGCTAGTTCATTCATATTTTTCTCATACCATACATGAGCAAGAACTACCAGATAAATATATGTTTGTTTATTCCTTTTTGCTTCATTAGTGATTCAATTTTCAGTCTTTTGCCTGGTCAAGCAAAACATTTTAATCCACGAAGGTGTGTCACGTTCTTGCCATTAATATATTGTATGACCGGTGATGGTTGTACTTGTTTTTTATGTTATCTAGGTCAAAGGCAGTACCTTGACTCGTGGAGCTAGGGCTTTAGCTAAGCATGTTGATCGAAGTGGCAATAAGTACTGGGGTAATTTAATTGGAAGTGGTGAGTTATATGATGCTTAAAGTTTCTATTTTATTTATTGTATATGTGTATGGTTCAATGACATTTAACATTTGGGTAGATTTTCATGATATCTTCATTTGATTTTTGTTGGGTGTGTGTGATTTGGGTTGCTCTAGTGTATGGAAGAACAAAATTCTGAGCTCTATTTCGGGGTTGCAAATGTTAATGAGTTCTCTTGCAACTAGTTGAGTGTGTAACAAAATAGTTGATCTTATCATATTAGGTCCTTATCAGTTTTGAAACTTGTCAAGTTAAGCCTTGGTTCCCTATTTTTTTGTTTAAATACTTATTGGGCCCCTTTAAATTTTGAAATTGAACAAATTAAGCCCTAACCCCCATTTGGTTTGGTTTTAATACTTCTTAGGCCCCTGTCAAGTTCAAAGTTTGGCAATTCCCCTCACAGCTTAATGTTCTATTGTAGTTCTGTCCTTGGCCATACTTATGTCCAAATATGTAATTTGGTTTGGCTCGATTGATTTGGGAAAAATTGCAGCTAATATTCGAGTATTATGATTTTTTTCTTTAAAAAAATGAACAGAAACAGAACCAAATATGAAAGGTTACCAAACTGATCCAAGATGAATTCTACCTGTTCAGATTGGTTTGGTTCACTGGTTTCTTTTAATTTTTTTAAAAATGCTTTTATATATATATTTTTAAAATTTATAAATTAATTATAAATTATATAAAAAAAGAATTTGGTTATAATTTTGTTCTGCTTGAATATTATTTCACTGTAATAGTCAGCCTCCTAAATTTTATAGTTTCAACATTTTTCTTTCCATTGCTGGGTTTTGACAATCTAAGTTTCTCTTGTTTCAGTTCATCGGATTTCTAGAACCATACATGGATGATGGTCACTTAAAGGGATGGAAACATTGATTTGATTCAAGAAATGTTTGCGTTGGTTTCGAAGATTTATAAGGTACCTCTTCCATTTAATTACTATTTACTACAAAAGGAAGATGATAATACAATCAAGACATTTACAAGTCTCCTTCAACCTCCATTTGTACCAAAAATATATATAAAAAAAGGTTTCAAAATGAGTATCAAACATTTTTTTTAAAAATTTCTGTGACTACTGCAACTTCTTCGCTTCAAATAGTCATCAATTTTAATTTTGTTTTGTTTAGTTAGAGATTCAAATCTCCGTACATGATCCGATATTTATTGGACACAGGTGCCGGCATAAGTATTTCAAAAAACAAATGAAGAGTTGGGGTAACATACGATAATGATGTAAAACTCAAAAGGAATGCACAGGACGGAGTTCCCTTGTCGGTTCTTATTAAAATTTATATATTCGATATAATTTTGGTTTAATAGTATTTTAGTTTATGTAAAAATAAAAATAAAAATTTAAAAAATGTAAAAATTTATTAAATATTTAATCAAGTAGTGGTCGAATTAAAGAATGATAAGTATGTGTTTTCAAATTTTTAGTCTAATTACAATTTAGGTCATTGTAAGTTTAAATATTAGACAAATCAGAATTTGTTTTGTGAATTTTGATTTTTTTATTATAAATTTAAGGTGAATACAAAGAAGTATATATACAAAGATTTTTAACTATTTTATAATAAACGCTCATACCTCTACATACACAGTGTTTGAACCCATGACTTCAATGATAACAATAATCCCCTTAATCACTAAAGACGTTTGTTCATGTTGAATTTCGAGTTTAAATACCTAATAAGTCTTTATATTTTTCTTAAATAATCTAATATTTCAGTCAATGTCAATATTTAATTTTAGTTTCGTCCCTGGAATGCAGTTACTAATTTTGGTTAGTAGAAGTTTTGCAAAAAGACACAAGCCGGATTAGACTTGTTGAACTTTTTCTTATGAGAATTATATTTGTAGAATTTGGCCATTGTTATGTTATTTGGACTGGTGTGATTGTCGGGTACAAGTATATGTACAATATATATATGATCAAACTGATTAGATACGCATAATGAATAATCAATTCACTCTAAATTTGATATATCAGCATGAACTAATTGATATATCAGTACGAACTAAGTGATCTCGGTAGTAAAAGAATTGTTATAATTTCTTGAGATTCTGATATTCGAGCACCATAAATGTCAGGAGTGTGAGCTTTTAATATTAAATGAAAGTTATCTTTTAACAAATATTACATTGTACTTGCTCTAGTTTAATAAAAAAATTGTTCTATCAAGCCTCTTTAGCCCCTTTTTTATTATTAATTTTTTATTTAATTTTGTAAACAAATAATTATTTGATGCATGAAAATGAAAAAAAATATTTACAATTATGAAAAATATTTTTCTAATAATTTTGAATGGAAGGTTTTTTTTTTCACTACTAATGCATCTGTAATTATACTTTTTAAATATATTTTACAATTAAAATTAAATAAAATTATTTCATAGGGAAAAAAACATACAACGGATTTGAACTTTAATTTTATTTTCCCAAAACCTGTCTAATTCGGGCTGGGCCTCGGTTTGAACCCGGTTATCTTCTCTCTCTATGCTTCAACTCTGATCAACAAAGCAATGTTCTTCCATTTTTGTCCCAATAACCACTTCTAATAATGGAGATTTTCTAGGGTTTATGTTGTGGGCCTATATATTAATCGAATATTGGAAAAATTAGGGTTTGTGTTTTTACAGAGTCAATAAGCTCTATACAAACTTCAATCGAAAATGGTAAAACCCAAAATTGTATCTTCAATTATGTCCTTAGATCTCTGAATGCACTATTGTTTCGATGTTCTCAATTTCATTTTTGTATTTTCTAATTATGATTCATGCTTCAGATCTTTGTTCTTGTTTTCAAATTGTTCTGTTTTTGGCTTTCTTTTATTAGATTTTTCAAAATTTATTCTGAATTTTTGTTTATAGACAACTGAGGGTTGCAGAACTGTGATTACTATCACTTTCAGTTGATGGATTTTCTTGATTGTAATTATTTCAACGTTTTTGGATGAATTATTTTGCAATTTTTTTCATTCACAAAGCATACGGTCTCTATTTAGCTCAGGTTTTTATTTAAGTACTTTTCTGTACATTTGCAAGTTAACACTTGATGATTTTCTTTGTAATAAGAGTTTATGTTATTTTGAGGTTCTAAATATTTAGGATAATGAATTTGTAAGAAACTTTAATCATTGCATCAGTTTGTGTATTACATGAATTCTTGTCTGCCATTAAAGGTTTTATTGTTCTCGTCTTCAAGTTTTTTCCTTACGGGTTTCTTATTCTATGAACTCTTCAACTTGTGTCTTGTTCTCCTTCGGATGTATGGTATTTGCATTTTTATACTTTCAGGAATTGTTACAAAACATACCTTCAGGATAAGATAAGATGCAATGAATAAAATGAAAATCTTGTTCGCAACGTCGTCTAAATGATGAGAAAGAACCTTTTAATAGCCATTAGACTTCTTGGTGGGAATGAAGTGTGTGAACCTTGTATATGCTTCTCTATCCTGTATCGGGCATTGTATCTGTGTCCGAATAAGATAGGTTATTTTTGGTTTATTGTATATGCTTCTTTGTTAAATTATTTTGTTTTTTCATATGCAGCCTAAGCAAATTCATGAGATCAAGGATTTCCTTCTCACTGCCAGAAGGAAAGATGCTCGCTCGGTAAAAATCAAGAAGAGCAGAGATGTCGTCAAGTTCAAAGTTCGCTGCTCGAAGTATTTGTACACACTTTGTGTGTCCGATGCCGAGAAGGCCGATAAGTTGAAGCAGTCTCTTCCTCCAGGTAAAACCATACCGTTTCTGGACCCTCTTATTTATTTTTTCCGATCGAACCAGCAGTTGTAATGAACAAATGAACTGTTCCAACACTAGATAAATAGAAGAAACAAATTATTGTTCTTGACTGTGTTTCGTGTTTGTCTCGTGCTTACAGGTTTGAGTGTCCAAGACCTGTGAAAATAGGGATGCTTTAAGTTTACCATCCGATTAGTAGGTGATGAAAGCAAGATTTGATTTTTGGTTTATCGTGTTTTATGCCATTTTGCTGCTTTGAAGCTCGAAATTTAGTGTAATGGATTTGGTTGAGTTTCTTTAAATGGATATTAGTAGAGCAATTTCATACACTATTTTTCTTTCTGGTTGTCCTATTTTCTTTATCTATTGTTGGATGTGGTTTTCTTGGGTAGTTTTGATGTACTATAGCCTTAATATATGCTCAAAGAAATGTATTATTTGAAATGTTATTATTTTTTAAACATTTTCGGTAAAGCGATACCTAAAACATTTTTTTTTACTAAAAATGCTATTTTTGCTAACTAATTTCCGGTAGAACCCAATATTAACATTTCGGTAGATAAAATAATGTTTTAAATAACGTTTTACCAAAAATATTAAAAAAAATTATTTTCTTAGTCGTATATTAAGGTTGCCTCACTTGTTATATAAATTTATGTTGTCTCTACTAATGTTACCTAATTCGCTCCCTACCACGAATCTCGTTTGGATTTGTTTGTTTTATTCAGATATGCTAAGTATCGAAATATGATCCCAATACAAGTAATATTTTTTTCAAAAGGGCACTTAACTAACATATTCATCTTAATTTGGGGGCCGTAAACTAGTTGGATCGAGTTTGAATATTATTGAGCTTAACTTTATTTGAAAAGTTCAAAGTTGAACTTGTTTTGTCTCAAAAGCTTGTGAATTGAAATTGTTGGCTTGAACTCGAAATAATAATTGAAATTCGATTTGAATGTGAATTTTTTTTTAAATTAATATTCTCAGATTTAGTTCAATTAAAACTTGAACTTAAACTAGGTTCAAGCTCGAATTTCAACCCGAACATAAATTTTAAATACATGAAAATTTTATATTGTATTTTTAAAAAGATAAAAATATTAATATTATAAATAATTTAATTTTAAAAAATGAAAATTTAAATATATTATCTTTTTGAGTTGTTCGTGAGTTTTTGAGTCGAATATAAATAGTTTGTTGTTATATAAATATCCTTTTACTAGTCAAAAACAATAAAATAAAAGATATTTATTAGAAATCAATTTAAACATATTAATTTTAGAAGAAAAAAACAAAGAATGGAACAGTATGCAAAAAAAATGCAATAAGTGTTAGACTGAATCAAACCAACAGTACACATAAATAAATCATATAAGGTGGGATATACTTTATTTGCATTACTCATAGTTGCCATCATTTTAGTAGAGTAATAAAATTATTAAATTATTTTGAATTAAGATAAAGGTTCAGTTATAGAATTTTCAATGTATACCTTCTGAAAACTAAAATTTTTATTATATAAGGTCAGGATATATCTTTATTAATTTTTTAATGATCGATAATTAAATAATAATAATTTTTTATAAAAAAAATAATGACTAAAATAGAAAAATAATAATAATTTGGGGGCAAATTACTTATGGAGTTAATGTGGCAATAGTATTAACAAAAACAAAAACTTACTCTAAGGTAAGTAAATATTTGTGTAATTCATCCAAGAAACAATAAAATTTTGTAGGAAAAACAGTCCATATCTCCGACAGACATTGTTTTAATGATCAAATTGAATCATTATTTTATGGGGAGGCAACCAGAAATCGTGAATCCATTTACGGCCAAAGAAGAGAAAGTAAGATCGTTTATCTCCACCCCTTTTCTTTTTTGTATGAACTAAAATCTCTTTAAATTCTCTCACTTCTCCTGCTTGAAGCAATCATTTGATCTACCGTGAAAAAGCCCAATCCTCATATAGTCGTTCATTGTTATATATTGACATGAATATTTGAAATTGTATTGGGAATTTCAAATCTGGTTTTTGATTCAGTGCAAGGTTTGGTTTACCTGAATTTTGTCAAAATTTATTGATTGATTTGTGCTAAAAAAAAGTGACGATTTTATCTTAAGAATTGATAGGTTCATGAATTTTAACTGGATTTTAATGTTGGGTTTTCTATTTAGATTGAATAAAGCTGAAAAGAGAGAAGTTGAAGGAATTTTTCTAGTTTAAGTAGTGATGGGGAATCCATTGTTTTATGAGATATTGGAAAAACCAGCAACAAGCTGTATAATAGGAATCTGTGGTGGAATATGGTATTACATCCAGAAGAAGAACATTGGTTATCAGCATGTCGGTTTAAGTTACGAAACGGTGTTGGAAGGGCAATATTGGAGAGTAATTACTTCAGCTTTTTCACATATAAGTGTTCTTCATCTTGTTTTCAATATGAGTGCCCTTTGGAGTCTTGGTGTTGTTGAGCAATTAGGCCATTTAGGTCTTGGAGTGGCTTATTACCTTCATTACACACTTGTTTTGGTTGTTGTGTCGGGGTTGCTCGTGTTGGGAATGTACCATTTGTTAATTCAGCGTTTTAAGATTGAGTATTTCCGGCGAGTGACTGCTGTCGGTTATTCTTGTGTTGTTTTCGGATGGATGACGGTTTTGTCTGTGAAGCAACCTTCATCAAAGTTGGATCTCTTTGGATTCCTTTCGCTTCCTATTAGTTTTGCGCCTTTAGAGTCGTTGATTTTCACTTGGATAATTGTTCCGCAAGCAAGTTTTGTTGGACATTTATCTGGAATCATTGTGGGGTATGCTATAGCTTGGGGCTTGATTCATGGGATGACCAGTTATTGGGCAGCTTCCATGGTGGGATGGATTGCAGTAGTTTCTGCATTTAGTTTGAAACATTCTGGTGCATATGATTTCGATTTTCTTGAGATCGAATCCATTACAGATCCTTCATTGCCTTGTATCCGGTTTATCGGAGATGGTAGAACCTTGCAGATTAGTACAGTTCCGGTTGAAGGCATTCAAATTGTTTAGTTGGTTTGTGAAGAATGAAGGTGGTGGTTTTGCTTTGTTGATGCTATCACAGTTGAAGGCATTCATTGCTTTGCTTTGCTTTGCTTTGATAATAAAAATCCCTGGTTTGTTTGCAAAGCTTTATACAAATTTCTTCACTGACTTGGCTTGCAAGTCACTCATCACCAAGCATTCTATGTATATGCTTTAAAAAAAAATGAAAAGAATTTAAATATTTTCTTTTCAACGAGTATTAATTGATCTACAACAACAAAAATTGAGCGGATATAACAAAACTTGCTCAAAAATATAATTTTAATATTTATGCATAATAAAATTTTACCCTCGAATTTAAAAAAAATCATTTTAGTCCTTTTTTTCATCTCTTTTGGCTTTCAAACTTTTACTTTCTGTTAAATTGAATCAATCGACAAAAACTAACAGAATTATTAAACTGATGTAATAACCTTTTTTTTTTATCAAAATAGATGTCTATTATTTTTTATTTTATATAAAAAATTAAAAATAATAAAATATTTTTAAATGATAAAAAAGTGTAAAATTTTAAGTAAATACATTTAGACTATTATAAAATATAATAATTATTAAACATAAAAATAATAAAATAACCAACTTCAATTTGATAGCTTTTTCAATTGACTTAGTTTAATATAAAAAAAATTGAAAATTAAAATGATTCTTTTTAAAATTTAAATATAAAAAATATATTAGAGGGAGTCTTTATACATATCATATTCCATTTAATTAAACCAAGTTCCAAAACCTTATTTAGTTAAGAGTCAACTACACGTTTAGTATCCTAATAATCACTTTTGTTATATTTTAACTATCCTAACTATTTTTTATTTCAAAATCATACCTAAAAATATATTTTCGTTTTATTTTGATCACCCACGTTAAGAAATTAACGGTGATGTTTATGTGTCACTATAAGTTAAAAACACATCATCATTGATTTTCGTTTTCAAAAAATATGTCAGAAATTTTATTAATTTTTTAATGACAGATGATCAAAATAAAACGAAAACATAATGTTATATATGATTTTAAAAAATAATAGTAAGTGACCAAAATATAACAAAAGTTATAGCTGAGATAGTAAATGTGTAGTTTACCCTTCAGTTAACTTAAAATATTTATAGACCGCGAAAAAAGACTTGGAGGCAAAGCTGAGGCACAGTCTAGTTATCAAACACGTGTCAATATTCAATTAAATCATAAAACGCTTTGACTTTATCATGGACTGAACCAACCAATGATTGCCACGTCACGTTCTTTTCCGTCCCTATAATTCCCAACCCTGATCTCTCACCCTCATGAATCTGCCCTCTTTCTCCCTTTCCTAAATCTTAATCGATCATCATAATTTCATCTCATTAAGCCTAAAATTTCTAGTAAGTTTCTTTTTATTATTTGATTTTCATTTTAATTATATATTTCAGTACTTTTAATATGTTTTCGTTGATGTTCGATGAAAAATGCTAATTGTTGAACATGCCTTTTTTTTATTTGCATTGTTAATTTATTCTCTGTTTGGTTGCCGAGAAAAAGTTTAGAGTGTGTTTTTTTATTAGATTTTATTTTGTTTTGTCGTTCTGGTAATTGTTATAAGTTTCCCCATTTTATGGATGCCGTTTACATGTACAGCATAGCATTAGGACCTCAGGTTGTGGAATTAGCTGGTGATCCGAGGGAATTTTTTCATCAATAACTATTTGGCAGGTAGGAAAATAAAGGAAATTAAAAAAAAATTGAAAAAAGGAGCCGACTTATTCCAGAGTTAACTCCAACTAGGACTCAAGAAATAAACTTTGTATTTTATTTTACTCCTTTCTCTTTTTATTATTTTATTCTTTATATTTTACACTTACACATTGGATACAGGAAATATGCTTAATTTTTTCCTTAACTTTTCTGGCCTTATGTTCATTTTTTTGTCTATATTTTGAGTTCCCTTTGGAGAGTTATATCACCATACCCGTGTCTGTATATTAGTTGAACGCCAGTGTTGGACACGGAACAATTAATAGTCATAGGGAGATAGTTCTTGGAAATGAGACTCATTGTAGAGCAATTTGTTAAGTAAATTTTATTTGTGTTTTCTTTTCCTTCATTTTCGTTCTGGACCTAATCCGTGCTCTAGATGATTGATTGGTATCTGGAAAAATAGTGGAAGAAGGGGGGGGGGGGTTTAAACACCAACCAGTTATATTGTTTTACTGCATTTTAATATAAAGTTTGAATGTGCCAAGAACTTTTGGACCTCAATAAGAAATATAAAGGTTCACTTCGTATCTTTTCATGTTTATCCTTATCTGCTAGCAGTAATTAGAAAAAAGGTTGTTCTTGCAGTGGAGTTTGGTGTTCATTGTGATGTTAATGGTGGCATGGTACTGAACTCGGTCCAAGTAGAGGCTAGAAGCATGGAAAATGAAAATGAAACAGTAGAAAATCCTGTTGAAGGAACTTTTCAACAGGTATTGAATGAGAAAATGGAGCAAACTTCTCCAGGAATGGAAGACATCCCAGAGGGTATTCCAGCTGATGAGCCTTATGTGGGTCAGGAGTTTGAATCCGAGGCAGCTGCACATGCTTTCTATAATGGATATGCCACAAGGGCGGGATTCGTCATTCGGGTAAGCAAACTTTCCCGTTCAAGGCGTGATGGATCTGCTATCGGTAGGGCACTTGTTTGTAACAAAGAGGGTTTTAGAATGCCTGACAAGCGAGAAAAAATTGTGAGGCAAAGGGCAGAAACAAGGGTTGGGTGCAGGGCGATGATTTTGGTGAGGAAAGTTATTTCTGGTAAATGGGTTGTCACCAAATTTGTGAAGGAGCACACTCATCCTCTGTCTCCTGGAAAAGGTCGGAGGGATTGCATTTATGATCAGTATCCGGTCAGTATTTAACATATTGGCATAAATTCATTTGGCTAGTAGCCTAGTACACTAAAATGTAATTTCACTTTTCTATTTGAGTCATAATTTATGCATGTTTGTGTGATGTAGGTTACTATCATAACCATCTTCACTTCTTTCTCATAACGTGGTTTATCTTTCTTTGAAACTAGATACCATCTGAAAAATATTCTCTCTGAATAATGTTTCGTTAACAGTGATAAAAGTATTTTAAATAGCTGGTTATCTTTTCTGCTTAACACGAGAGCATTGATGTGCATTTATGATTATGGTCAGCTGTTAAGTGTTAAGTGATATTTAGGGGGATTAAGCGAAATATATGATGGATGCATTGATAAATTATTCAACAAAGTGTTTATCAAATGGAGTTTACTTCTGATTTGGCTTTTAATAATTAATAATATAAAGTTCAGTCACTATTGATTCACTTCTATTAAAGTGAGAACAATGATATTATAGGTGCCTTAATCTTTTGCAGTTGTCTAGAATATAATTAATGATGTATATGACTTCGGTACATCATGTGTTTTAAACTATTGAGGTAAAGTCCCAAATGGCACTAGAAGAGTGAAATGTAATGAAGGGAAAGTGCTTAGAGATAGTTTTGCTTCAAAGCATGGCCTCGTAGTTTTTTCTTGTTATTAATCTCTATCCTACAACATATGATGCCTTTTTTTTCACAAGTTCTTAAAACACACCAGTCAACATATGATATCTTTTTCTTTCACTTGTGAAAATTATGTTATGGAGGCATTCAGAATGCTAGCATGTAAAGATAGGAATTAAAATTATAATTTCTGAAACTTTTAGCAATTCATTAATGTATATCCGCCTTCCTCGTCCTGTTACCTTGAAGAAAACTACATTTTATTCTTCTGTGTTGTGCTTACTGGAGCTGTAGTAACAATTATTTGAAGTAGAGCTTTACGAGAAATGTTGTCAGATTGACTCCATTTGGCATAACCTAGAACGTCGTAGCTTTCCTCATGTTGTTGGTTTTGTCAATGAACTCATTTCAGCTCTTTCAACTTGTGCGTGTAGCTAGTAGCCTCTAAAAACTCATTTTCAGCTTTTGTAGAGAACTACCAACACCATTTTGCTCTTGATTCTAATGTTATCTTGACCATTTTATCAAGCAATGAACTCTTTTTGACCATTTCTTTCAATCTACAGTTAGGAATTCATTTTGGTGCTACTTTCGTTTTAGCCTCCGCAATTCTGCCACTGATGCGTGCCGTCGTTCGTCAGCCGAATGCTTTTATTTTGAAGTAGTGTGTTGATAATGACATTGATTAATCTGTGTACTAAAACTTGCTTCATCAATCTTGTCTTTGTTTCAGAATGAACATAACAAAATCCGAGAATTAACGCAGCAGTTGGCCATGGAGAAAAAGAGAGCTGCAACTTATAAAAGACATCTAGAGTTGATATTCGAGCAAATTGAGGAGCACAATGAGAGTCTATCAAAGAAGATCCAACACATAGTGGACCGTGTGAATGAAATGGACAACAAAGAGCATCAGAGCCGCGTATAGTTCGAGTAATGTTGTTGGGTATGTAATCAGGTGCGAATTGTGTAAGGTCTGGTGGCTGTGAAATATAGGGTTTATACCAATTCATTAGAATATCCCTTGTATAATTATGCTTCCACAGGGTTTATACCAAATCAAATTAGGTCAGTCAATGTACAGTTTTTGGGGCTGCAGTTTGTGTGAAGGGTTCAAATATAATTTCCATTGTGGACTTTTATTAATTCATTAAATTATTTCATTTAATTTATGTTTTACATTTTAAAACAGTCTTTGGGTAGCACTCAAATGTTTTTATTTGTATTTCAGTTAAACTATTTTCTGAGATACCATGATTTTAGCCCTTAAATATTATTTTAAAATCTTTAAATAAACACAAATCAAAAGCCAAAAAAACTACCGTAAAATCTCTATAAATTAATAACAAAGAGACCAAATAACTTTATTAATTTAAAGAGTTATTAATTAATCAATAAATTAAAAATTTATTAATTTAAAGAGTTTGTTTTCGATTTAACGAAACTACATTATTCTTTACGACATGAATTCACAATGCCTTTACAACTAATTATGTGAAAAAAACAATTATGACGGTTACAACTCTTCTCAACTTTTTGTTGTAATATGAGAACGCGACACTGGAATTTTTTTATGCAATAAGCAAAATTAGACACATACATCTTGATTTAGATTTTAAGAAGTATATAACAATAGAATCATATTTTATTAAATTATCCTAGTTATATTTATAATTTTATAGAATTCTTAATTTATAATATTGAAAGGATCATAAATTTATATAAGGATCTTTCGAAAAATTTATTATTTTATTAATTTATCAAAATTATTAATTTATACCTTGGGCCCAAATCAAGACCAAAAAAATATTATTTTAGAGAGATTATTAATTTATAAAAATTATACTGTATTCCATAATAAATATAGTCTTATTTAAACTTGGTCCTTATGCTTAAAGCATTCATTTCTATGACCGTAAAATAATTATAATAATTTATTTGGTAAACTACACGTGTAAAACTTTAGCTATCACTTTTATTCTGATTTAGTCACCCAACTATTTTTTTAAATAATACCTAACGTTACATTTACATTTTGATCACACACTGCTAAAAAATTAATAAAACTATTGACATGACATTTTTATTTTTTTCAATGATGACATAGCATTATCTTTGGTTACACATCATCGTCACCGGTAACTTTTTAACGGTGGATGACTAAAATGAAACTAAAACTAAAAATTAAGTATGATTTTGAAATAAAAAATAATTTGATGAACAAAATGAGACAAAAGTGATAGTTAGGGTACTAAACATATAATTTACCCTACTTTATTTATGAATATAATTCCAGTACATGTAATTCTTTAGCTTTATGAGCTGATAAAATAGCTGAGATTATGCATTTAAGGGAAAACAAATGTACAAATGAGAGATCATTGTACCACTTGCACTATCTTGCACGATTAAGCACAATCGGGTTGCAAATGGAGAATATGTACCAAAGAAATTCAGATTTTTAAACCATTGCAACAAAGCAATGGCAGCCAAAACATTATTCAAAGCTTCAAAATAAAATATTCGTATTCAGTTTCATCCTATATTCAAATATTCAAGAATGTTGTTTACCAGGAAATACGCCAGCTTCTTCCCGAACGTGGAAAACATCACTCCTGGATTGCAATTGCAACTATAACCTTCGTTATCTTTGAATTAAGTAGCTGCTCATCTCTTCTGGGTATTTGCATTTGGAAACCTGTTTTAACCAAGAGAAAGGAAGAATTGGAAAAGAAAAACAAAAGTATAGCATTTTATATGACACATTTCAATCTACCGATCGAATTATCAGCTCGATGAGATGAAAGGACTTTAAGAAGAGGATTCCAAACACACACCAACACTTCTGACGTCATCGCTGCTGCAATAGCTGCAGCTCTATTGACTCGTATTCCTTCAAGTTGTTGACTACGGTTTGAACTTTCTTTGATAGTTGGTTACTATGGTTTTCAACAATTTTCATGAATGCAGTCAGCTGTTCTTGATATGCTGAACATAGTCTTTTCTTGTTCCGCAATTCAACTGTTAATTCTTGAATTTTCTTGTCCTTTTCATCCTTCGGAGTTGCATGAAGAAAAAACATCATTTAGAAAAATAAAATTGTTTCACATAGATACACTGTTATTCCACATGATAAGTTTAGGAAAATATTATACATAAAGAGCATCAAACCCAAAAAATGTGTATGCAAAGATGTCTATATAAGCATATCAAAAGATCAAAAAGCAGAGCATCAAACCCAAAAAATGTGTATGCAAAGATGTCTATATAAGCATATCAAAAGATCAAAAAGCTAAATTCGTTGAAACGAATTAGACAAGGGTTATTCAAGAAAAATAAAGTTGGAGTAACATAATACAAAACTACGATCAAATGGAGTAATTTCGCTACCTATAATTACTTTAGGTTGGTCACGTGAGCTTTTCACGATATATATGAAAAAGCTTCATTAAAAATGAAAATTCCCATTTCAAGTGCAAACTCATATTCATGACTTACACTTAAGCCTGAGTAACAAAGTTGTTAGGTCTAAACTGCACAAGAATAAATCATCTAAATTAATCACTCTTAGGTTTATTCTCAACTAGTCTGACATCTACCCTCTCATGAACAACATTTTTATTCAATCTTTTCATATAAGAGTAATCACCATCTTGATATCTTTGACTTAGCAAAAACAAAATCATCTAGGTATCCTCATTTGAGCATTCCAATCATCTTATGATGTGATGTCTTGAAATTGCAAAATATTTAGACTTTTACACAGAAATTAAAGAAAATCGATCATCCAAAATGAAGACATTGCACCTTACCAAAATTAAATAAATCATACAGAAAGTAAACTTGACACCAATGTTTCGGACAGTGATGATGAGCATGATATGTAACAAAAAACAGATAATAGTCTACAATAAGAGGAAAAGGAGGGGTGAAAAATGAACTGTACCATTGTTTGACGAGCCTCCTGTGGAGCGATTACAAGCGGATGATTATGTTCCTTTACGAATCTCGTTATCACCCATTTTCCAGACTTATTGAGCTTAATATGAATCATTGCTTTGCAGCCTTCCCTTGTGCTTGAACGTGGCTTTCTAACAGGGCCAAATTTACCCCGAATGCTAACGCAATACCCCTCCTTATTACATCCGAGTCGACGAGCAAGAATCCTCCCGTCTCTTTCCGATCGACGACAAGACATCACACGCATGACAAAGCCTACTTGCCGTGCATATTCATCATAAAATATCTTGGCAGCATCTTCAGATTCAAACTCCATACCTTCGTGTGGTTCTACAATCGAATCTGCATCACATGGGACTGTCAATATCTCACCTCCTGTGAAGCTCTCTATGGCTTCTGCACCCTCATCCAAATCCACTGCCTCACATAAATGTTGATCATTATTCAAAAACTTACTTTTTTAAAATAAGATATAAAATAAAAAATCACATCCTCTACACGAGGAAAATGAGAAGAATCACTCATAAATACAATCCAAAGTAGAAAACACTAGAAGCCATAGAAAACAGAAGCCTTTTTTCTACAATGTGAAGCCCACAATATGGATCAATTATATCACAAAAATGAAAATTCTAAGGGACAAAATGCTATGTTACTCCGACTCAGATGTGCATGTCAATTACGGATGTGCACAGCATAGGCATGTTAATTTTTTTAAGGTTTTTATGCATTTGAAGGTCGTATCCTCCCATACCACTGTCCAGAAGTGTATCAGACATAGGTGGTAAACACAGGGTGCTTCGAGAAAAATAAGAAGTCATAGCAACATAGACCAAAGCAACTAAAATGAATGGCTTCAAGCAGACACTTCTAGGATTAGAACACAAGACACGGACTTGAATTTCCAGGTTCAAGTCTTATTGAGACGAGCAGAAATTACGGAATATGGTAAAGCAGACCAGAAAATTTTGGGCATGATGAAATTAAATGACATGAACATGATATGTAAAAGTCAAAAAATAACACAAACATGATATTAATACACGAATGTATCAAAATTCATATAACATGAATTATTGACATGTTAAAGTTTTCATGCACAATTGCATATAACACCTTGAAACACTATTGCAACATGAAATCAATACAAATATGCGGGTTACAAAGTATAGTATCTCCTTTTGTTTAACTGTAGACCCATGTCTCTCAATCTATACCAAAAAGAAAATATAAATATAATATTTCTTCACAAGTCATCTCCTTAAATCATTCATCAAATAAGGAAGAGTGGATATAGGTTTTTAATATTCTTCAATAAATGACAGCTTCCCTGCTAAACCAATCAAACAACTGACATTTTATATTTAAAGAAATAGCCAAAAGAATCACCCCATTAAATCAAAGCTACACTGAAATGACTAATTATCATCACTCGTCAACTTATATAAATGTAAAATCAAGGAAAATTAACAAAAGAATCAATGAAACAGAGAAGAACAAAATGTGGGGAAAAAGAAAAAGAAAATTCAAAATAAATCAAACCCATCAAAACCAAATGTATCCTAACACTAAATCCAGTGTTTATAATCACTCATTAACATATATGAATGGAAAATTAAGCAAAATTAATTAAAGATCCAATGAAACAGGAGAAGAAAAAAAGGGAACAGTCAAAATAAATCAAACCCACTAAAATCGAAGGTATCCAAATACTAAATTCGGTGTTTATCATCACTCAAAAACAAATATGAAAAATTAAGCAAAATTAACAAAAGATTCAATGAACGGAAGGGCAGAAAAAATCAAAAACAGTGGAAAAAAGACTGACTTGATTGAAAAGATCGAAGAAGGGAAATTTAGTGGTAGATCTTTCGTATGTGTTCTATCCAGATGAAGAGAAAGGACGGCGACCCTACTCTGTGGGTGGGCTCTAAAGGTAATTTTGAAGAAAGTTTGAGATATTAAAGGGGTTAATTTACATTTCAGATCCTTTAATTTAATTAAGGTAAACCATGTATTTAGTCAATCAATTATTATTTTAATTTCATTTTGGTCATTCATCTATTTCTTCTTCAAAATCATCACTAGTATTATGTTTTGATTTCATTTTGATCACCTATAGTTGTTGATGATGTAATTTCTAATTTTTCAAACTTTATATTATTTTAGGGTGGCTACCAAACTAATTTTTTTAGATTTAATTTTTTTTGGAGATTTTTATATTTTTTATAATTTTTTTATTTTAACAAAAATTTTAAATTTCTATAGACATGACACATATAATTTAACAATGAAATTTAATAATAATAATTTAAACAATTTAAAATATAAATGAAAAACATTAAATATTTAAATTAATGGAAAAATAATTTAAACATCTAAATAGATAAAAAAAAATATAGCTTCGAGGCTAATTTTTATATTAAATTATTTCATTCAACTTTCCTTCAAGAAAGAGAAACGAAAAAGAAACGGGGCACATTTTGTTAGTTTAATTTAAATTTCTCTCGTTTCTCTTTCCCTTAATCAAAGATTGACACACAACCATGTTATCGTTTCCTCCGGGGATCCGCTGCCGATTTGCGGTGGCTCTTCCCTTAATGCTACTCGTTACTTTGTCATTTTCTGTCCTCGCCACCGCCGACGGTGCTTCAGAGGACGACGGCCCCGAGTTACCTGCTTGTAACAACCCTTTCAAATTGGTAATTTCATTTCCTTTTTCTTTTCTTTTCTTTTCCTTATGTCATTACTATTTATGATAGTTATGTTTGGTAAAGAAGCTTCTCGTTTTTTTTCCTTTTAATTGGTTAATTTTGGATCTGGATTCCGAAATGATTTGGAATTGTTCCAAATTCTATTAGCCCCATTAGTTATTTTTTAGGGTTTTGCGATAGGGAGAGAAATTGGAAAAGGAGAGCAAAACTGTATTTTTTTCCCTTTCAATTGGAGAAAACGGTGGAACAAATTGTTGATATGGCAAGTTTGAGTTTTGGTTTCTGTAGGAATTTTATCTGACAAAGAAATTTAAGCTGAGATAACAGTTGCAGCCAACTAGCTTGCGGCTTGTAAATTCCATTCGCAAATAATTACAAACAAGATTCTGGAATGGGAAATCCGGTTATCTACTCGTTTGGTATTGTTACAAGATACAGGTTCTAAAAAGTGGGTTCTTTTATAATTTGCATGTATGAAAAAAATATTTTAGGATTGTTATAACGTCAAAGGGTTTTGAAGATCATGTAGTACTTTAGAAAGAAAGAATGAATTTAGTTGCGTATTATTTGATTCCAGTGAGTGCTGAAGGGTGCAAAAATGTAAAGAAGAGAGCTCTTATCTGGAACATTTAGCTGATATATAATATTCTGTTATAGGACAATGATACTGATAAAAAGTCTTGGAAGATAATTTATTAGAAAGAGAGGGATGTCCAACCTTGGAAACTTGAGTTCTGGGGATGCAGGAAATTTGTGGGGTTTGTCAAGAATATATGCAGAACTGAAAGTTCTTTGAAGAAAATAATGCTGTACTCCTGTTATTTTAGTCATACAGAAACTTCTGTGTTTTTGATTATGATCTGAAGGTTCTTATGGTTATTTTTCTGAGTTATGCAGTATTATTGAAACAAACTGATTACTTTGTTTTGTTGGTTGGTGTTGAAACTTAATCTTGGGGAAGATAGATAACTGAGAAATAGTGTAAGATTTTGAAATAGTATGTTTGTCCAAGTTTCATGTCTCAGAGTGCAAAAGACTAAAAGAATAATAGCCTATGTTCATCCTAAATTCATAATAATTAAGTTCGAATCTTCCAGGTCAAGGTGAAGATCTGGATTGATGGTGCTGAAGGTGTTGATTTATCTGGGCTAACTGCAAGCTTTGGTGCATCATTGCCAGAGGAAGCCAACAAAAGTTCTAAACTGCCTGCTGTTTTCTCAGATCCCCTGAATGGCTGTTCTAGTTCTTCTTCAAAGGTTCTGTCTCAATTTATTTTGTTTCCAAAAAATTCTTGGTGAACTTACCACGCCAAGAATTGTTTAGCATTTATATTGTTGGTCAGAGTGCATTTTTGTTTTAATACAGTGAAATTTATAAAATCATCCATATTATCACAGTTCGATTGACTTTGGTGTCACGGGTCAAGTAAAACCAATTCCATTGACGAAATTACAAAGAAAACAATCTAGATCAGAATATAAAAATGAAATAGTGAAATTTACGTCTTTCATTATTTTGTATAAATTTATATTTTTCAGAAAGTACTCATTTCTTCCTAAAATAGCCATCTACTTTTTCTTCAAAATACTACCAGTAACTTTCTCTTCGAAAGCATTTTCTAAGTCTTAATTTTTCTCTCTCTCCCATATTGTGGGTATGTTGTGTGCGTATACATAAACTACTAAAAAACCTACTCATTTAACTTCTTTTCCTAGAGAAAAGGGGGAAAAAGAAAGAAAACTCCACATAGGGGTTGTACCAAATTCTATTACTCTTAAAAATTCTCTTAGTTCTTGGAGGACCATGTAAGCCTATGAAGTTTGGAGATGATACTTTATAAAAGTACTGAATGAAATTTGTAGTTTCATAAGCACCATAATCTGATTCATCATGGTTAGAACTTTTTTATTACAGCTCTCTGGCTCTGTAGCCTTGTCCATACGTGGTGATTGTGACTTTGTAACTAAGGCAAAAGTTGCACAGTCAGGAGGTGCTGCAGCCTTGCTGGTGATAAATGACAATGAAGGTTATAATTTTTTTGTTTGCTGGCGTATGCTATTGGTATTTTTAACTTCATTTTGAAGTTCAATGGGATGATTGATTGATTAAAATAATGTTCTTGCTTATCAGTCTCTTACATATCCATCTTTTTGAATAATTTATCCAGAGCTTTACAAGATGGTTTGTTCTGAGAATGATACTTCTTTAAATATTTCGATACCTGTTGTGATGATTTCAAAATCAGCTGGAGATGCAATTAACAAATCCATGGAAGAGAAACGTGGTAAGCACTTGATCTCATATGACTTCTTTTCTTTTGTCCTTTTAGCTTTGTTCTTCAGATGCATCTGATCTATTTCATAAATTGTTAGAAACAAGGATATCTTGTTCCCAAAGTGATTCATGATGATGAGGGATGGAATGCACTTAAGCTTCTAAATCTGATTCGAGATACTTGTTTGCAGGAAATTATTAACCTGTCAAATGAACCAGCTTTTGGTTAAGTAGTCAATTTAGCGTAGAAATGTCTGTTTGACACAGCTATAGACAGTAGGGGAATTTATGTTCAGAATAAACTTTATCATCTTTTGATTAGGCGAATAAAGTCTAAATGAATAGATTCATCAATGCCATTAGTATGAGGTTATGGATATGTTTTCGGCAATGTGCAGGTTTTGTGTTTCTGTACTTGATTATGGATCAGTGAAAACAAACTTAAAGCTTTAAAGTATAATTATTATGGTACTATACAAAATCTTCAATGTTTTTTACCTTATCTGTATTCTTTAAAATATAAGGATTTGAAGCTATATGGTTTTCCTGAATGTAAACATCAGTGTGATACTATAGTTTTTTTTTTTTAATTTTCAAGCCACACAATAATTTCAATGGATATTTAGCAATGCTTAACAAGACAGAGAATTTATTCATCCTGGATGCATGCATTCTTTCTGATATTTGAAGTTTGTTTTTGTATAATTATCCATATGAACTAAATCATGTTAATTTTACAATGCAGTGGAACTTTTACTATATGCACCAACTCGTCCAATTGTGGATCTTTCGGTTATACTTTTGTGGGCAATGGCTGTTGGAACAATTGTTACTGCTTCATATTGGCCAGAGTTCGGCACTTCTGAGAATTCTGATGAGCGCTATAATGAATTATCTAAGGTTTACCATATTCTATTCTCTATCCATTATCATGAAATTTATAGTTGCATTATTTGTTTATGTGTGCATTACAGATATTTGTTAATGCCTGCTTTAGGGAGTAATTGGTTCTGATTTCCATGAATAGCATATCCTTTAGGTTTTCCTAAAATTTTGAGCACCTATTAGTATTACCATACGGATAGCACTCATGGAAATTGCATTTTCAAGATATTTGATTGGCGTTTATGGCCAGCTTGAGTTGTTCAGGTGATTATCTTTATAATCACTTTCCTTTCAAAGTAAGTTTATGGCGAGTCTAGTAGGCAGGCAGTTTTCTTTTTCTTTCTTTCTTCTAGATATTTTGTCTATTATCCAATCCAGTGGTAGATGATCATATCTCTAAAATTCCAGTCTGATGAGAAGTATTGTATTTTTTTCTTTTTGCAACAAATTTCTAAATTCTTATATTGGCACATTGGATCTCAGGGACTGAGTGTCCTTTGCAAGGAATTAGCAAAATGCATGTGCAATTGTTACTGCATCAACACTTGTTGCGTATAATGCTCTCTTTAAAAGTTGCTGCTCTAATTTGTCATGTGAAGAAACCTTACCAATTTTTATTCATTTCTCTCTTCCTTTTCTTTCTGTTTCTATCTTTACAGCATCTGATTATTGAAAGGAAGTTTAAGTCCTTTTTTTTTCTGCTGCTGTTGACTAGGAATCTCCCAATGCTGGAACAGGTAATGATGACAAGAAGGAAATCCTCGATATTAGCGTAAAGGGTGCTGTAGTTTTTGTGATAACAGCATCCACTTTTTTGGTGCTACTCTACTTTTTCATGTCCGCTTGGTTTGTCTGGTTGCTGATTGTGCTCTTCTGCATTGGTGGTGTTCAGGTAACACAATTACAATTGTATTTGATGTTTTGTTTATCATGTATGTATGGACGTATGCTCAAATCTGCTAAAGGTTAGACTTAGCATATTAAAAACAGAAATACATTGGTTTTTTTTTTTGGAACTTCTCTTAGCTGTTTAATTGCAAGGTGGAAATGCAATTCAGAAAAATATTAGCTCATATGATCATGAATAAATATATACGGGTAGTAATTAGAAATGCATAACTGGATTGCTTTTGTGTTGTCTGTATCATTTTGTTTTTGCCACATTTATGTGCACATTGTTGAAGCAACTAGTTTTGAACCTTTTCTTATTTTTCATGTTTTTGCTCTCTTCTTTTCCCATTTTTTTTGTCATGTTGATATATTCTCTTATGACCTCTTTTTGTATATCTGCTGAAGGTTTTTGTTTTTCCAGGGGATGCATAATTGCATTATGACGCCTATAACAAGGTATGCTTGAAGTTTCTTGTCTTTGCTGTAAATCTCTCACAAAGCTGTTTTACAAGATTTATTTTCCTTTTGTTCTTGTTTCTGATGTATGTGTGTGCTTGCAGAAAATGTAGAAATGGTCCACAGAAGACATTGAATTTGCCCCTCTTTGGGGAGACTTCTGTTGTCTCATTTGTGGTTGCACTGTGCTGTTTGATATTCTCTGTTGTCTGGGCTGTCGAACGGCGAGCATCATATTCATGGGTGGGCCAAGATATTCTTGTAAGTCTCCACATTGTCACTTTGCATTCCAGACTGATTATGGGTATTTTTGGGAATTGATCATTACTTTCTAAGATGCAAACATTTAATACTCTCTTTAGCGGTAATGTCTAGGGAACAAGTGGTGTTTTGAGATTAAATCTTATGGTGAATGATGTTAAGAGGATTAGAAATTGTAAGAGTATTTCAAGGTCTGGAGTTGGATTAAGATCCAGGTCATAAAATCAGAGTTAGAGAGTTGTTTAGATGTGGCTTTTACTAATTTGAAGAGTACTGGAAAACAGCTGGATTTAAATTGCTAGTTTAAGAAGGCATAAACCGGTTTTAAGGGAAATGTTATCTAGTGTATCACATTTGAATTCCTTTGATAGCCATTGTTATTCCTTTTAATTTTAGTTGTTTTTGTTTCACCTACTCATTTCCCTGTTGTTTTAAATAACTTGTGGTTTCTATCAGCTTTGCTTGCTATTGTTTCTGCATGGAAGTTGGTTCCATCGTTGTTCAGATGCCTTTTTCTTTGCATTTGTTTACTACCTTTTTGTTTTTGTTTTTTTTGTGTTTTCTTTAAAAGGGTATCTGCTTGATGATAACAGTCTTACAGCTGGCTCGATTACCTAATATCAAGGTACATTGTTTTCATTTATCATGTATATCTTAAATATATTTCACCCTGTGCCCTGATAGTTCTTCATGGACCAGGTCGCTACAGTGCTTCTCAGTTGTGCATTTGTTTATGACATATTCTGGGTCTTCCTATCACCACTTATATTCCATGAGAGTGTGATGATTGCAGTAAGTGTTTCATCCTTTTGGTTGAACTGAAATTAGTTTTCTTTTTGTTAATTACTATAATGTTACCAACTAATTTTTTGGTTTGACTCCATTTAAAGTATTTAATCTTTGCATCTAATGGAACAACATCTTTTCTCATTACACAATTCAATACCATCAGTCATGAAAATTTGTTTGTATGTAAAAGCCATGGTCTCTTGATTTTCTTTCGCTTAGTCACCGCACTAGTACTTCTGGACATATAAATAATAACACGGTTACATATTTGCTGATGGAACAAAGGATGATTCATTGGTTGATTTGGTTGAAGCTATGATTTTGTTCATATGCTTCTCATGTTGATTTAAAAGAAATGATTTCTAGATTGCAAAATATGATGGTTCCGACTGCTGAAGATCACTTTGTAGAGCTCCTTGTTGGACCTACAAAACTAAACTGATTATGTTATTATTTTTTCTTTTGACCTTGTAGTTATCACTTTCGTTTTGGATTTGGGGGGTGGGGTGTGTTATTTGTTTTATCTCTTTTGTTTACCAGACAACATTCATCAGGAATTATGTTGCCAATCATATAATCTGTCTTAATCTTTCCTGTCCAATAACTAGCTAGCCTATGGTATTTAAAAGGCCCAAAAACAAGTTTTTAAAAAACATTCTTATGAATGAGTCTGATGAAGTGTAAGCTAAGCTGGTCTCTCACATGCTTGTGCTGAAATATGTTTATTAACTTAAACTATTAACAGCTAGTACAATGAGGCTCTGATACCTCATTTAAAAATCAATAGCATTTTAAAGGCCCATGTATGAGGGGTTACTTCATATGTATACTGATACGGCTGGTTGGTCTGTACAGCTGTGTACTGTGTAGAATGTGACACTAGTATATACTTACAGTAAAACGAAAAATCTTTCTTCTTACCCACAATTCCATTTTAGTAGAAGTGGTTTTGGCGTATGGCAAGCTCCTATTTCCTAAGCCAAGGTGGCCCTACATCCGGTCAACTAACCTAAAGACATAATATAAAGTGACTGTTCAAGGATGAGCCTTGATCTCTAACATTTTGCTCCTGTTAATAGGTTGCTCGAGGTGACAATAGTGGTGGAGAGTCAATTCCCATGCTTTTGAGAGTCCCACGAGCTTTTGATCCATGGGGTGGTTATGATATGATTGGATTCGGTGACATTCTCTTTCCTGGTTTGCTTGTTGCCTTTGCTTTCAGGTACTTCATTCCTTTATTGAGTTAGCTTCCATCATCCGATACCTAGATGCAAATATCTGGTTTCATAATGATCACTTAACCAGGTGTTTGTCAAGCTGCTTCAGTCAGTACTTGAACTGTTTTTAGTGTCAAATTTGGGTTTTAATGATAATATTGCATGCTGGTCCATTTCCTTTCTTATGCCCTTGTTTATGAAGGGTTGTCGTCTTTTCTTTGTTTGTGGGTTTACGATTATTTTTGTTGTTTGGTTGTCTCAGATACGATAAAGCAAACAAGAATCGTCTTGCCAATGGGTACTTCCTGTGGTTGATAATTGGCTATGGATTTGGTAAGTGTTCGCACATATTAGCAATTCTGTCAGTTGCAAATGTGCATGTTGAGACTAGCATCTCCTGAGTTATGTACTTTGTTGGCATAAAAAATATCTGTTTCGAATGGGCACCAAATTTAAATTGCCCATTGAACTACCTGCTTTATCATCTCAGGTTGACATTTGCCTTCAGGTTTTCGATTCTGCAATGCAGTTCTTGATCTCGGGAAACAAATTGAATATCTTCTTTCATGTCATACAGATTGTTGAGAATAATATGCTTGTTTACGTCTAGATACTGAAAACCTTGATAATGATTCTTTAGCTTGGTTGAGAAGCTATTATGAAGCTGTGAGCTGAGTTAAAAAACAATGACATAACTTTTATGAAGCTATGTTGAATATACTTATTTGTTTGAAATTCCGTCCATATATTGCAGGCCTCTTGTTTACATACCTAGGGTTATATCTAATGAACGGGCATGGTCAACCGGCACTCCTGTATCTTGTTCCTTGTACACTAGGTAACGAAGCTTTTGATTCCGCCCACAGTCCAGGCAGTGAATATGAATTCTTGTTTTTGCTCGTTTCCCTTTCTCCATCCGTCCTGCTCTTTCTTCTGTTTTGCAGGAGTTATGTTTATATTAGGTTTGGTAAGAGGAGAGCTGAAAGAGCTATGGAACTACAGCCCCGAGTCAAAATCCACCATGACAAATCTCACCGGAGAAGCTTGAAACAGGTAATATTTCGTAAACTGGTCCACAGAAGCTAATGGTGTATAGAACGATGGATTTGGTATAGGTTTCGAGGTTTGAGACGACAAATTGCCATTTGAAATTTATTGAGCAGTGAAGGTTCGATTCTTACCACCAAATTGCTGCAAATGTTGTATCATTTCTGGAGTGTTATGCAGTGTGTCAACTTTTATTTTGTTCAAAATTTGTAGGCACGCAAATATCTATATATACATAATGAAACTTCTTTTTTTTCATTTTATTTTAGAAAATTGCAGCATGTTGTACAAAGAAGTGATAAGAGAAAAACAATAATTTATTTTATGTTCCCTTTCTTCAATTAAAATGTAAATGCTCCTTTGGTTTAAGTAATGTTACATTAGTGTGGTAATATAAGATTTTCGAATGGTATTTCTTTTTTAGATAATGTAATATTCTCATGGAAATATTACATTTTAGATAATTTGGTCTTTAAATTTAATTATTTTGTTTATTTAATCTTTTCAAGTTAGACTTGTTCATGAATCAAGCGGTTCGTTTTGTTCAAATATATTTTAAGTAAAATTAAAGATGTGTTTTTATTTAAATATGATTATAAAAATTATATATTTTCAATATAAAAGTATTTTTTTATTTATTTTTAAATTTGGAGTGGCTAAAGTGGTAGTGGGCCAGGTTGAATACGATATTGGGTTTGGTTTTTTTCGAGTTTTTTTTAGCTTAATAGCGTAAATAAAAAATTTATTTTAGGATCTATAGTTTTTTCTACAGTGACAGAGAACTTTTCACGCGAGATGACGAGTTTTAATAAAAAAAAATTATTTTAACTTTTTACTTTGATATGACAAGATTTAATAAAAAAATTATATTTTATTGAAAATTATCAACTGTGACGAGTTTTAATAATATTATAGAAAATATCGTATATCTCAAAATATAAATCGAGATGTCCAAATGGGCTAAATAAAAAAACCTATTATTCTTATTGGGCCAAAAAACCCTCTTGACCCCTTTATATATAGGGTTGTAAATGGGATGTTACAGATTTCAAGCTACTTTTCATTTGATCAAAGCTGGGGTTTTTTGTTTTTTCGGTTCATTTAATTTGTTTACGTTGATTATTATTTTATAGTTTGTTCATATATACACTTTTTTAAAATATTTTTTTTATCAATCCAAAAGTTAAAGAACATGGCAAAGTACAAAAAATGTTCCGGACTAAAGGGTGTTGTTTTGTAGAATCTTATGACTATTAAAAGTTACAAAATGATCATCTTATTATAAGATATTACTTTGTTGAGTCTCTCGACAATTAAAAATTACTAAATTTTCACCTGACTTTTCATATATTCTAAATTATTCTTTTTTTCGTTAAAATTTTTACGGTAGTCTAAGTTTGATGTTAACTTGTTGATTGTGATACGATAAAATTTGATTTCATAATCTTAAACGATTATCATATTTCAGTCATCATGTTAACGTCCAACTTAGACGATTGTCAATTTTTTAATGAAAAAAACAAGTTTGGAATATATGAATAATCAAGTGATCATTTTGTAACTTTTAATAGTCAAGAGACTCAATAAAATAATTTTCTATAGTCGAAGAACCATCTTATTATTTATAATAGTCGGGGACCATTTGTATACTTGACTCTAAAGAATAATATGCATTAAAACATATTAAAACTTACATCCTTATTAGTAATAATACTCATATCAATCAAATTAAGATTTAAACAAATATTTTTATATAAATTTAACAATATTATGTATGACATGAAAAATATGTTTATGTATGTATACATTAATTATATGTTTATTTTTTTATATATTATTTAATCTATTAATTATATTAATAATAAGTTAAATGTATTTTTTTAATTACAATATAATACATGTTTATAATCTTTTTTAATTATGTAGCAACATACACATATCTTGCAAACGTCATTGTTTGAACTGAGGATCTCAAGAGAGAACTATTATAATGAACATTATAACGATTATAATGTAATTTATTTAATGATATATTTGATGTGGCATTATCTTGTGGTGACATGTAAGCATTACCATTAATTTTTTAATTGCAGGTGACCAATATAGAACCAAAATGTAATATTAAGTATGGTTTTGAAAAAAAATAGTTGAGTGACCAAAACAGAAACTAAGTAATTTGTAGGTGACCAAATATGTAGTTTTTCCTAAATAAAAATATATATTTAACACCATAATATATACATGGGTAAAATACAAGTTTATCACCCAACTATTACTTTTGTTCAATTTAAGTCACCCAACTAGTTTTTATTCACAATCATACCTAACGTTACTTTTTGATTTCATTTTGTTCATTCACCATTAAAAGTTTAACGATGATGTGACATATTAAAGAGAAAAAGTTAGACAAATCTGACCATACCCATATTAGACATATATCAAATTCCCACACTACATTGCGAGTAATTTATTTTAATGTTTTAGCTAGCACCATCATGAATATTTCGCATTCATTTTTATGTTTTTTTTTTTTGATAAAAAAGGGAGACCTCATTAAAATCCCTTCATAACCCATTAAATATAAAATATCTCACAGGCTATAGGAAGGAAAAAAAGAGTGTCTCAAAATTTATTAAGAAAACAAAACCAAAGTACAGCAATTTAACCACAATCAGCCTACTATCACCAACATTTAAAAGCTATTTCTCCTACAGAACCAAACCACCAACCCTCAACCTATTCCCTCTTTAGCAAGTTTATCCGCCTCCCAGTTCGAACAACTACCGATATGTCTAACAACCATTTTTATGTTCTTGACATTCGCTTCACATGCTTAATAGGTAATTATCAGTTTCCTAATACAAAATTGCGTACAAGTCGGCATGATGGCTATCTAAATGGTTCTTACTCTAACCTATATTGATCCTCCTTTTCATTTATTTTGAACTGTCTGTATTCAAACAGCTTTATTCAACACTTCAATATGGGGATGAGTATATGACCTCCAAAGATCCTTCAAATACATGAAAAACATATAAAAATCTAAATATACCTTTGTCCGAAACTCACAACTGAATTTAACATTGGTTCTTATGTTATTCTGACTCCTCGGTTTCCTTGAAATGTCATTACTTTTTTTGACACGCATTAGGACATGGATATGTGGTTACTATCCTTATCTGTACACACACACACATATATATATATATATATATATATATATATATATATATATAAATTTTAAATATTGAACATAACTATGTTCATACGTACCAGTATCTTATTTTTGAATTCAAATTTGGGTAACATCTGTCGTAACCGGTTTTCGTCTGGGCACGAAATATTTATTTGGCGGAAAAATTGATGTGAATAAATGGTTTTTGAAAATAATTTGGGAGTCGCCATCGGCTTTTTGGGTCAGGTAAGTCGAATACCTAAAAATTATTTTTTAAAAGAGTTTTAAGAAAACATCAATTAAAAAATGAACTGATATGCGTTTATAACCAAAAATTCGTTCTTTTTAATAATAAAAAGGGATTCGTGGTCGGTTACGTTTAGGGAAGGATTAACACCCCTACAACGCCCAAAATTGGTACTTTTTAATTATAAATTGTCTCTATTTAAAAATTCAAAATATATTTAATTTATAATCCTATTATTTCAAAATTATATAAAAAAATATATTTAAAAATATCGGAAAAGGACTTCTAGGTGCCTTAAGAGAGCTCTTTTCTTTGATATTAATAAATATTAATTTGAATAAAATTAAATAATAATTTTTTATAATATTTAATTTTAAAATACCAGAATAGGACATCCAGTTGTATTAAGACTGCCCTTTTCTTTGATATTGAAAAATAAATATTAAAATAATTTATTGAAAAAAATAAATTATTATTTATTATATATATATTTATGACTACATAATAATAATAAAAATATTTAAATATATAAACAAATAAAATTAAAACAATAAAAATATAATTAGAACTATATGAAAATATTTAAAATTGGTGACTAAATTATAGTAAAATTAAAATTAAATATCCAATTCATAATTAATCAAAATTATAGGGATTAAACATGCTATTTTCTTATTTATTAATTTAGTGACTAAAATAAAACTTATCTAAAATTCGAATATCAGATTAAAATAAATTAAAAATATAAACTCGGGATTAAAATATTAATTATTAAAATTAAGGGATTAAATCTGTTATTTACCCTAAAGATATTATTTTAATATAAAGGACTAAAATAAAATAAAATTAAAATTAAAGAACCGAATTAAAAGGATTATAAATTGATTTAGTGACTAAAATGTAAAGTTTACAAATTTGAGGGATGGCGGACGGGATTTAACAATTAAAAAATTACACAAATAGCCCTCCCCGAAACGACGTCGTTCGGGAAGGGCTATTTAAAGCCAAACCCGGCTGGCCCGAAGGGCCAGCTTCATTTCTCGTTTTTTTCCTCTCTCTCTTCTCTGAGAGAGAGAATTTTCTCTCGCTTCTCTCTAAAACAGAGAGAAGCTAGCCGGCCGGCAGCCGTCCGCCGGCGTTCTTCCACCGCCGGCCACCGCCTACGGTGGTCGATTTTTTTTATACTAAAATATAGATCGGACCGTCCTAATGACGGTTCCGATGGTTTTTTCTTCTAAACGGCTCCCGATCGGAGCAAATCTAAGAAAAATACCTTCGGTTTTCGAAGGTTTTGGTGACGTTTGAAGAGGTCCGGTGGTCGTAGCTTCCTCGGTAAGCTTTTCTCCTCCCTTTTCTTTTGTTTTTGGTTGCTGGTTATTGTGAGTTGGTCTCTTTTTTGGTATCTTTGCTTTCGGTTTTTGTCTCTCTGGCCCTGTTGTTCTCTTTTTTTTCTTTGCAGATGGGGTGATGGCTGGCTTTATAGCCATCACCAGTGTGGCCATCGGACCGGGTAAATGAGTGGAGTCTGGTGAGTCACCGAGCTATGTGGTGACTCACCCCTAGAGCTTGCGACGTGGGCGGCGGGTGTTGAAGCAGCAAAGCTTCTGGATTCTTCAGCGAGGCGGCGGCGTCGTGGCGTGGCACTAACAGCTGGGACGTGTCCCTAGGGTTATGATACCCTAGGGTTTCCTTGTTGGGTATCTCTGGACCGTTGGATCTTGCCAGATCCAACGGTAGCAAGCTGAGGCGGCTGGGAGAAGAGGGAAACCCTAATCTGGTTTAGGGTTTCCATTGGGCTAGCTTAGTTGGGCCAGAATTGGGCTCCGGGATCCATTT